AATCTATCTAATCTATCTAATCTATCTAATCTATCTAATCTATCTAATCTATCTAATCTATCTGAGGTACGTGTAGCTGGTAAACCAGCACAAATCCTGAACCATCCACCACCATGCTTTGCAGCTGAATCGGAGAGTTTGTGCTGACACCAGACATCTTCACTTTGGTCATATTGTTTTCTAATACAGTCATGAACTTCTACATTTAGCGAACCACTTTACTATTTAGTCTTATCAGTTCGATATATCAATCCCGGCTGAGCTAGCAGTGCTCTGGTTTATGTTTACAGCTAAAAACACATAGCCAGCATATGAACACAGTGCTGCGATGCAAATTATTTTGAAACTTTCATGATGATGCCTTTGAAATACAGAAATGTACAGATAAAGACTGGTCCAGCAGCGGCGATGTGTCCGCACACCTGTAGTCCGAGCTCCAGAGAGACTTTGAGCAGCGTAATGTCAGGCAGGCTGTCCATGAGAGTGGCGATCTTGAACGCGTCCTGCGCCAGTTTGAAGATGTGAGACGAGGAGTGGATGTTTTTCTGGATGGACTCCAGAACCGTCTCCAGCCTTCGACTGTCCCCTAGAAAGGAAACAGAGCAGAATAATGTCCAGTTAGATTAGATCAGGGATTTCTGCTGCATTTATTTGTATGTATTTGCAAAACTCTTAAACACACCTTTGGCAGCGGTGAGCATGGTGGAGGCCAGCTCACACTGCTGAGACTCTATATGGCTCAGGGTGAACCAGCGCGGGTAGCGGTTTGGAACTACAGACACAATGTGGTGAGGTCGTGAGAGGTCACCTGAAGAGGCCGTGGACTCCAACACGGGCAACCTGATGGAGAAACACACAAGAAACGTCAAAGCATTAATTATTGGGCGTACAACTACAACGGGTTGACTTTAGAGCCAACCTAACTCAAGATGGTGGCCACAGCAAACCAACCTGCACCACACTGACTTGGCAGGAGCATCTTCAACACCAAATGTTAATAGATCATGCTTGATATAGCAACATGAAATCCGATTGCACACATTAGAGATGGGGACTCGTGACTCAGACTTGGACTTGAATCGCACTTAAGTCCCTACTATTAGAGACTAAGACTTGACTTGGACTTGTGGTTTGAGACTCGTAAACAATGCAAGTCTTTTCACTATCCGGCTCACAATTCTCACTCACTCAGTACACATCCATGCTGATGCTCCGCTCCTTTGAGAACAAATACATAAAGTTTTAAGAGCAAAGACAGTTACTCCTGCTCTCAAAATGAAAATATACACTCTTGATTAAAGTCAGAATAATTCTTCCATACACTCCGCTCCCCCTCACCTGGTATTTTATCGTAAAATCAACAGCAGACTTGTTGGATTTGTTCTTTGTCAATGGCAAGATATAATTACAGTATGCTTTTGTAAGACTACAAATGCAAAATACATTTAACAATACTCTAAATGCTTGATTGTTATTTCAAACTTAACCTTATTTGTATTTTTAAAACAGTATTCTGTTTTAATAGTATTATTAAAGCATAAAATTTTTAATATTTTATTAAAATATAGTATTATATAA